CAATTTAGGAATTGTTCCTCGATCGATAGAAAGCTGGAAAAGCTTTTGAAAAACACTGGCCAATTGATCCTTGCACGTTTTTAATACCTTATTGCAAATACGATCAGGGCCCGGGGTTTTATTCACATTAACATCACCTAGCACCATTCTAACTTCGTGTTCAGATACCGTAATTACTTCAAAATCCCGGGTGAGGCTCTCTCTAAGGTTTTGCATGGTTTCAACATTCTTCGTTGCAAAATCACTATGGTCAAATCGACAATAAAAATCATTTAGGCTATCAACAAATGTTTGATTCACTACAGACTCATTAACAGATGACTTCCTTTTATAACCTGTAACATCTTGTAAGGTCTTCCATGCAGCTTTAGGATTGTTTTCCTGAAAGCCTCTTTCAATCTTCTCTTTATACAACTGTTTTGATGCTATAACCTGTCGTTTAATTTGTTTCTGTAGATTTCTTACTTCTGAATTATCACCGGCAACAAGTGCCCGGTTTTTTGCTTTCAACAAGTCCCTCAGTTCTTTTAGTATATGTATTACGCATGCGCGTGGACTTCAGTTTCACTAGCCATTTTGGGTGTACAAAATGTATGTGAGCTGTGGTGCGAGGGGATTTTTATTGGGGGAAGGGGGGGTGTCTGTGTGTTTGTGAATATTTCTGGTTGTTTTGGTGCATGTTTGGTTTGTATAGTTTTTCCACATCTATTTTTTACACTGCGGATTTTTTGACAAAGAGTTCACTTATAGTACACACACAAATATTCCAATTTCACACATAGGCTATACATACAAACACTCTCTTTCTCTCTTTCTCTCTGTCCAGTGGAGTGGTGGATCCAGGGGCACAGGGGGCACATGCCCCCCCCCCTGTCAAAAAACTATGTTAAAATCAGCCCTAAATTCGCCCAAAATATACTGAAAAACATGGACGTGCCCCCCCCCCCCCCGGCACAAAAAATGTATTGAAAATGTTATTTAAACAAATATTATAAAAAAAATAAAGAAAATATGCCAATGGCTGATCTAAAAAGGTGACCTTACCCCCCCCCCCCCCCCCCCCCCCCAACGGAGCAAAATGTCAAATTTAAAAATTTCGTGACCAAAAAGTTTCCTCTTTGCAATAATTTGAGCTTTCAACAATAAATACAATCAGCAGGTTCCTATTTTCATGAATTTAAGCTTTAAAACATTCCAATTTTAATTAAAACCTGAACTCTCACTATTTATTCTCAGATTCAGACGCCGCCATAATTGCTCATGTAAAAGTTACATCTTTGAACCAATCACTGCGCATGCATGCAGTGTACATACGTAAGTACACAATTAGCTAGCATATAGCTGCATGCTATGAGCAGCTTCGACTTGTGTCACGCGCATGCGTAATACTACTAGTAACTTTGCAGCTCAATCATGAATATTTATGATGCGTATACCTCTGAACCAATCAGGAGGAAGGATTTTACGCTCATAGGTGAACCTGTTTGGGAAGAAAAAAAATCGCCGCCCGGCCTGCCCCTGGCATCTTCATACGCTACTATTTGAAAGCCATAAAACCACCAGTATCCTCATCTTGGAGTCAAAGCTGTTGATACGGGCAGACAAGAACGTCATACACTGAGCAGCACAAAGGGTGGCCGTTTGCAAGACTCTTTACAAATACAGTAGACGATTGGTGAGTTACGTTTTGTGGACGCAGTGATGCCAATTCATTTTCAACAACTGTTCTAAAGTGTTCGATCACGATGGTTAGCGCGGAGTCAATAATTTAATGACCCTTTAAGTTTGCATACGTTCAAGAATATTTACCTCAATACGTACGTGACCCCTTTTTAATTTCACAAGTACAAAATGGGAACTATATAAATTATAGGTCTAACCCTATTTTTGCTTATTGAGTACACATTCAAAAGAGTGCCATGTTTTATTTGCAACATACACACAAAACAAAACAACAAGATACATACCTATTCACATGTCGACCTGCGAAGTTTGCGAACATCGATACTGAGAATATGAAGCTTTTCCTCAAATTAATTGATCTTTACAAAGAAATACCCGTTTTCAAATTCGTGAACATTGAGCGCATTGAATAACATTTTATTAGATTTTGTGATTTTTAGATCTAAGAAGCACTTAATTTTCAACCGGGGTGCCGGTTGAATTTGAGAATTTGAGTAACACTTTAAAAAAATCATTTTTTGGGCATAACGTCGATTATGTGAAAACCAATTTATTAAAAACCGTTAGAGTATGTTATTTCATGAGGAAATAGCATTTTGAAGGTGATAGAGTGTCTTTGTTCGTCGCTCGCTTCACTGCTCACAACTTTTAAAAACAGGATGATTTCTGGCAGCGTAGTGCCTGAATACCTTCATCGTTGAGCAATGAAGTGCCCATTAAATAGACTTTTATTTAATAGAGAGTTGCCTGAATATATATTACATCCTTTATATCAAATTACATTTTGACCACGCTCGTTTGCTTCACTCGCTTGCAACATTTAGAAAGATGATAATTATTCTGACCAATGAGAAGCCCGAATCTCTTCATGTTCGTGCATCGAATTGACCGCATCAAATGATTTTGGCATTCATGTTTTCTGCAGCGAGATGCTCGCACTCTTAATTCTATATTTTATCACGTGTGTTAATCATAAGGTACATTTGTTATCATAATTTTTTGCTCGCTTGCTCCGGTCGCTCGCAAATTTAGAAGATAAAAATTGCCAAAGTGTAGATGGTACTTGACGCGTGTTAGAGGGATCCTAACTGAATCTTCTGTAAAGTATTTAGGAATGGGATGACGATAAACTGTTTCATTTCTTTGAAAGAAGTGTCATGCGGATTATTTAAAAAAAAGGTTGAAAAACGCTGCTTTAGCCTGTATTTACATGTAGGCTTTTTAGTGTTTGCACACCGCCCTAAAAATTATATTTATTTTACGCGTAACTTATAATAATCATGCGTACGCATATAGTCAGTGTGAAATGTAACCACCGGAGGCGGTGTTACACAGAAAAATCCCTTAAAAAATCCCTTGAAAAATCCTTTCAAGGGAGAATTTTCTTGCTTCGTTAGTGGATTTTTAATGAGATAATTTATGACAGACAGCAATTAAGAGGATAACTAAAATCCGGATAACTAAAATCCGGATTTTTGGCCTCTGCGTGGCAATTTCTTGCATACAAATATTACAAAAAAGCAGGGACGGATTAGCTTTTTGCCAAGGGGGGGGGTTGACCCAATGACGATGCAGAGCATCGTCTACGAGCCGCAAAGCTGCGATCCGATTTTTGTTGCTATTTTGAACGCCCGTAAGTGATGTTTTCTTGGCATGTACTAACATGCGGAGCATCGTCCACCTTATTTGCTTAAAAAATAAGAATTTGATCAATTTCCACCCTTAGCACGTTTGTTTAGTTAGTTGCTTTATCTACTTAAATTGTTTGGTTTTTTTTCTCGAAAATCTTTGCCGTCGTGTTTGAGAAGATTTTTCAATATTTGTTTTCTTCACACAGAATCGTTAATCATGTTGGCAGTTTGTCTCCTCACTTTCATCGCAATGTCGATTACCGCAGTCCCCGCCACGACCCCGACCCCGACCCCTACCCCACAGCCTCATAGTGTAATTCAACAATGTGAAAGTGAGTATTTCAATAGATATATTAATTTATTTGTATATGTGTATTTGTGAATTTAGTAGACTATGTATGCAAGTATTTATTTATCTATTCATTTATTTATCTAGTTGCGCATTTATTTATTTATTTATCCATGTTTGTTTTGATTTTGTTTTCATCTATTAACATATCTATCAATTTATTTAATAATCTATCTGCAGGCTTAGAGTGCCCCACCACTACTATATTAGAAGAATTTGGTTCAAATATGTGGAAGAGACGGTTAGAACCAACTGTATGGGCGTATAAGGTCGCTCCAACCTGCAACCAATCTGCAGCAACAGGTTTAGTCTTCAGTTACCTCCAATCCTACTTTGTGGGTAAGCTTTGAGAATCAGACTTTTGTACATTTTGTTATAATTCCGAAGAAAGCATAGAACACTTATTTTGAGATTGCCAAATTTATAAGAAGGTTTATCCAAAATTTGATTTTAGATGATAAAATTACTTTAAATAAGGTCAGCTTTTTTTTTATTTTATGGAAGTGAATGAATTCGATCTAATTTGATTATCTTATACGCCAAATACTACACGCTTTCCATCAAACGTAAATTTAGCTTATCGTTGATCAATTATTTCAAAGCCATTTTAAGATATTATCGTTCATTACGATATTAAACCTATGTTAAAAACAATAAGTTTAAACGGGTATTTGATAATAATTGGAAACATTGGTTAGCTGCTGTAAAACAAAAACAAACAAAAATTAAGTTTATGTGCACTAGCATAATGCATTCTACTCCTAAAAAAGACGTACCCCAATCGGATTTAACAAGTAATTAATAATCATAACTAGGCAATAAATTGATAAAATCAAAATTATCTTCTACATAATTTTTTGATCATTATGTCTTGATGAATTTCATCTATTCGAATTATACATGGGAAAAACCTTTTCGGTTTTTTTTTTAGTCTCGTTTGATTTCCTACGTCTAGCTTTTCTTTACGTTAGCTTTGGAAGAATATTGCCATAATTTATGTATTCGTATATTTTGTGTACAATGTGCCTCTTATTGTTAAGAATAATTGTAAGCATTATCCAAAATAGAAAATAGCAATCCAGTTGCCTATTTCCTTATCTATTTGAATATAAAAGCCTTTTTAAAGAGAAAGTAAGAGAAAATATATGGATGGGAGGAGGGGCGGGGAGGGGGACAAGCCGAGGGAAGAAAATGGTATGAGGACCTTTCACAGATATCTTACTATGCCTACTACATCTTTTTTAAATAAAACAAACAAGAACAAATGACTCCCCCTCTTCCTTTAAAATATTAGCATGGATATCATTTTAAATCAGTCATTTGACATGGGAGAAAAGTGAAGATAGCAGATGAGATTTTAAACTTCCGCTTCCTAAAATGAAACGGCAAGTTACATTCTTTTTTGGCAATGTTATATTCCGTTTCTTTTTTTAATCTTGATGAATTGTTTCAAGCCAATGTAGGAGGGATGTATACTTTGGCACTTGTAAACATAAATATTGTATTAGGCCTGCTTCGTCTTATTCTATCAACATTTCTTTCATGTCGAATTGTTTTGCTAGCCAACGGGATTGATGAGACGAAACCAATGATTTTGAAAGTCTCGGAAAACATACCCGTGTCATCTAATTCCTCGTGTTCCGACCAATCAGGATCTTACCCTTGCTGTGACCAAAGCTACGAACTGCTCTTCTTCATCCCTGTAGCTTCGCAAGCAACCCCCCCAACCCCATCACAGGTACCGTAAAACTTAAAGCCCAGGTAGTGTATCCCCTTTTCAGCCAACATCAAATTATGTAGAACTTTGCAGGAATTATGAATATAATATACATAATTATACGTATATTCTATCTGTAATATTTAAACGTTAGCAGTGTCCTAGTATTCAAGGAAACATGCAAGTAAACCCGTTTACTTTCTAGACTTCACTGTCAGACACTAGTTGGGGTGACTGACTGACTGACTTCTTTTTTCTTTGGTAATAACATACAGTAGCCTACATGAGCATTTGTCTACATCCATTACCCACTTCTTGTAATAGCCAAAGTTAAACTGACTGAATCTTTGCGCAGCACAAAACGTACGACCATTGGGTACAAGGGTTTGAAAATCAGACCATTTAATTAAACGAGCGCGCTCGCTAAATTCGATTCAACAGACATTTTCAAGTCCTTTTGTTTTAAGGGAAGTTCTAAATTAGTTTTATCTTTCAAATGCCGTTGGAATTTCTGGCGATGCTCAGTGGCTGCCGGGCTCACGATCAATTGGGCAAAAAGAATTTCCGTTTCGGTTTAATAAAATTTGGAGTGGACTATTAGGCTATTATTATTATTATTATTTAATTTGTTTGGCCTGCAATTGGGACATAGTACCATATAGTAGTTAATATACATGTGCATGTATTGCATCATAATTCGCTGACACCAGATTTCGTTGGGCTTAAACATCTTAAACAGACAGTGAACCCGTTGTCCCGCCAGAAAAACTTCAGCTTGCCAATCCATATCTCGATGATGAGGGAAGCTTTATTTTTATGAGAATTCCTTATGGCGGTAGGTTCAGGGCACAGTGCAGACCCCGTTGCATAAAACTTACCACTGATGGAACTTTGCCATCAATAGCAAATAAAATAGTAACAGGGCTCAACAGCCAATCAAAATCAAGGTTCCCATGGTAATTACCATTGCGGGCACAGTTACCATCAATGGTAAGTTTTGTGCAACGGGGCCTGCACTGAAAATGTCCGGGGAAATAGCCGAGAAAATAGAAAAGAAATAAGCAATGAAATTCTCCTGCTCAAGAGCAGGTGAAATTCTTGTGTGACTCTGATGAAACTCTGTATATGAATGGGTTTGGGAGAAAAACTGCGGGGGAATTGATCAAAGGTGCAGCGCTGAATAGCCACAACCCCCGCGCTCGAGATCGGCAAAACTGTTGCTTCCTCCTGCGTAATTTGGCCTCATACTGAGTATGAAGCCAAATTACGGATTTGCAGCCAGACAAATTACTTTTTTTTTTAAATGCTTGTTATAAGCTGTAATGTCCGTAATAAAGGAAATAGAAGCAACCGCCGTAGATCCATGATTGTATTCCACCAGTGCGATATGATCTAGCGCTTGTAAAATTAATTGATGACCATTTCGCTGACTTCAATCAAGCTGCATTGAGCTATAGTGCTAGCTAGTTGGGCTGCCGACTGAATCCAAAATCAAAGCGCGCCCAGCTAGCAATCGACTGCGCAATAATTATTCACTTCCGGCGGCCGAGGCTCGCCCAAGCATGGACCTACGCGAGTGAATTTCTCCGGCAGTATGAAAAGCATACACGGCCTAACTTTGTGTTCATAAGACAAATTCTATCGGTGTTTTTTTTTTTTTTTTTTTTTTTTTATAGAGTCACTATGAAGAGGGTCCTTTTATTGGGTAAACATCGTGATGGTGAAAAATTCCCCATGAGACCCCACTCCTATAGGCCCGAATTCACAAAGGAGGTTTGTCGACAAACCGAGGTTTATGTACGTCATATGACGCGTTTTGACGCGTTTTGACGCGTTTTTTACAAACCTGGTTTGTAAAAACGGGTTGAAACGCGTCATATGACGCAATGGCAATTGGTCTTAATTAATTCATCGATTGTAGGTGGGTAAGACTTTGCGGCTTTTATAGCAAAGATTACCTTCTTTCTTAAGTGACGCCAAAGGACTTGGTTATGTACATGCCAAGCTTGTTGTCTTTGTACAATCAGAGATTTAACATTACTCTTTGGGTTATTATTAACCACCCCCTGTAAATGGAAGCAATTGAAAACGAAAGTTACTGGAACCAGTAAATTTTTATATGAATTAATGAATTACTGAAAATATTATTGATATCAATTTAACAATTTTGATATAAGAAAAAAAAGAGATACATAAAGACAGTATTGAACTAATAACATGTTGTGTGCACATACCTAAATTAATAACTACTTCAATTCTATTTACACATATGAGTAAAGGACATTGTTAATTTAAGAAAGTGCTAGAATTGCTGCCTTTGTCCTCAAATAAAGACTAAATTTATATAGTATTTTATATGTATGTGTAGGCTTTCCCACCAGCGCACTTTTACGAGTATTATTGCGAAACTGGCCAGGCTAGCGTGTAAAAAAAAATTGCGCCGGCCGCCGAGGGGTCATGGCAGGACGTGCTAGTTCCCGACAGCATATAAAGCAGCCAGGCCTCGAATATTAAAGCAGTCGATATGTCTTTTATATGTCGAATTGAAACAAAAATCTATCACAAATTCTTACCTTATCCATTTATTGAGTAGAGATTGGTTAAAACATCACTGAAAATCTGAGACACTGTGTGTAATCTTTGCTTAAGAAATGACTGAAAATTTCAATCATTGGGAATCGCAGACAAAAAGCACTTGCACAAGGAACATTTTAACACGTAAACCAATGGGTATCGCAGCAAAATTTTGATATTTTAATGGTAACCGGAGTTTTGAGGGATCTCACTCTTGGACTAAACCGGTATTGACATTTTTTTTTTCTTTACGGGAATGGCTAAAATCACGTCTCCAATTCCGACCAATCAGACGGCTTGATTTCTTAAGTGAGGTATATAAAGTTGTAAAGCTGTAATTAATATGGCACGTTCCGCCTGCCATACCTGCCTGGTCCACTATAGTTGCTGGCATCCTTACTTTCTAATCAAGCTTTTCTTTACATCGGCAGTTTTGAGGATCTAAAGGGCCTATCTCACTGAGCAGCGAATGCTTGCGAACGTTGCGAATTTGGATTCGCCAACTTTTCTGACAAATGTTGGCGAAAATCAGCGACATTAAGTGACGTTTAGCGACAATTAGCAACATTTGAGCGAATGTCTCCGAAAGTGTTTGCGAAAGGCAGTTGGCGACTATTAGCGACTGTAAACAAATGTTAGCGACAACTTTTGCGAAGATTAGCAACTATTTGCCAATCCTTTGCCACTATTTATGAACGTTTCAGACCTTTTGCTAACTACTGGTACTCAATGGCTTACGACTGTTTTGCAAACGCCTGCAACTGTTTGCGGAAAAATAAATTCGCAAAGAAATTTTGAACATGTTCAAAATTTCTTTGCGACAAGAAAGACTGTTTACAACAAAGAAAACTGTTTGCGATCTTTCTTGCAACCTTTTACAACATTTTACAAACTCTGGCGAAACCCCAAATTCGCTACGTTTGCAAGCATTCGCCGCTCAGTGAGATAGGCCCTTAAGGACTCGTTATTCCTTCTTTCTCATTATCATCTTGTTGAAAGGCAGTGACGGCCCAAATGTTACTTAAATAATCTTGAATAAGACCGAACCAATTGGGGGTACGTTGTAACCCCCCCCCCCCCCCCTACCCTCCCAAAAAAAAAGCTACAACTTCTGTTTGAAAACATGATAATCAACGGGAAATGTTTCAAATCTATTAATCTCTTTGAAAGATTGAAGTACAAAGTGACTTGATCTTAAGTCATTTTGTTCAGTAGAATTAATCGATATTGTGGATTTCATTTTTTTTAAAGGACTCTGGGGTGACGATACTGCACTTGGCAGATTCTCTGGAGTTCTACGGCATCACCTATATTGGCGAGAATCACAATGCGGTGGAGCAATACGAACAGCTTCGTGGATACCTCAACGCGCAGGGCAAGACATACTTTGAAGACTGGTACTTTATTGCAGGTGAGTAATTATGTAGTACATGTGGAAATCATCCACTTAAGAAAACTTTCCCGATAACCATCCTCTCAGGACAACATACAACAATACTATTATTATTCTCTTTATTGTTTATTATTGGTGATGATGACGACGATGATAAAGATGATTACTATTATTTATTTTAGTATTAGTAGTATTTATTATTATTATTATTGTTATTGTTGTTGTTATTATTATAATTATTATTATTACTGTCATTATTATAATAATATTATTATTATTATTATTGTCATCATCATCATCATTATCATCATCACATCATTGAGGTGTTGTGGTAAAGTGGTTCATTCACTCAATTTATATCCAAGGTTTGAGGGTTCAAATCTCAGCGTGCCGACACTAACGTCCTTTGGCCAGACACTAATTCACATTTGGTTCTCTCCACCTCGGTGTGAATGTGTACCTAGCAATAACAGGTCCCTCGGAGAGGACCTAAAGCCTTCGGTCCCCTGCTTGCTTCCTTCAAACATACACATGACTTTTTAGCAGTCCGGTAAAACAAACAAACAAGCAAACAACATTAACGAATTGCAGGGCCATCAGGATGAACAAGCGTGTGAAGCTGATGAGGCTACGTATACCCTTAGTTAAGAAAAATTAAACGTACAAGTAATTTGATGTACTTATTTATTTATTGTATTTTTCTTACAGCTTATGACAAACCAACGGACCCTCAGCCTCATCGGAATGAAATCATGGTTCTTATCTAGAAACCCAGAAGGAATTATAATAATGAAGGCACCGATAACCCGAACGACAGCCCAAGAAAACCAATCACATCGCAGTGGGCGTGGTGGTCGTCAAAGACCACACCGATCTCATTCCGTTTTGAGCTGGTCGACAAACGACTCCGACCAAGATTTTAATGATTTTATGTCATTTCATTTCATTTCTTTCGTCACATATGATAAGATTGGCTAAAGAATACAAAATAAGAACAACTGGATGGGAAGCACTCGTTTTTTTTTCTTCACATTTCCAAGGTGTATAATCATAGAAGTTTGCTATCTTAATTTATTATGAGATAAAATACAGTGCTTTGCTTTTTAAGTAGTTTTGAAATACATCATAATTATTATAAACCATTTCCAAGGCATTTAATCATAAAGCAGTTTGCTATCTTAATTTATTATGATATAAAATAAAGTGCTTTGCTTTTTAACTAGTTTTGAAAAAAAAATCATATTATTAACCGTATCAGACATCTGAGCAAGGCAATTTTCAAGTTTTCAATGATAAGCCAACAAAACTACGGGCGAAAGAAATATTATTGAATAATAATACACAGTTAACCAATGAACAAATACTTTTGCCCGATCACAAAAGTCAACGGCAAAATGCGTGTTAAACTAGCGGGCAATAATGTAGAGCCAACATCCAGGTATTTGTAATTTTCATTGCGCATATATTAACTGCTTAATTCAGGGCAACACGGCTTCTCATATCCATACAGTTGTATATCACCCTCACCTTCAGTTCTGGCGATTATGTCGTATTGCCCCGAAGACAGTCAATATTATTTAATTATTATCCCAGTAATATGACGTATCATAATCAGCATGATCAGGGAACCATATTTTCCGGCATTGTCCATTTCAGCCGTTTCGTGGTGTCCCATTACCATATACATGTAGTTTTGTTATACCCTGTAAATATATTCTTTTCAGAAATGGTAACAAATTCATTCATTCGTTCGTTTTTCCGAAAGTTAAATTTGCCAAATGCTCATGATAATCCGTAGGTTCATCATCATAATTATGGTTATTCCTAAACCCAAATTTCCCATACCAGGGGGTCATAATTCCGAAAAAATGAAATAGGGTTTCATACATTTTGTTGCGTTATTCCGAAGTTTCGTTTATTCAAAAAGTGAAATAGGGTTCATTATTCCGAATGTCTATACTTTCAAAAATGATAATATAAGTACTGTATATCTGTTTGAGATATAGTGTTTACGTGTAATATATAAACATGACGTAATCGTAATGTCGTTCTCTTTGATATAGTTTTTCTCGGATTGGTATTGGAATTTGTTTGGGCCTATTGATTAATAAATACTTCTACCCGCAAATTTCTCTGCATTCAATTTCTTTACACCTCTCTGCGACAATCACAGGTTTTTATATTGGAGATAATGATGTAGATTATGATAATGATGATGATGGTGATGATGATGATGATGTTGATATGATAATGATGATGATGATGATGTTGATGATGAAAACGATAATTGTGGTATAATAGTGGTGGTGACAATGATGATGATATATTATTGTGACGATGGTGATGATGATGAAAATAAGGAGGCGGGGGAAGGGTAGGACATAGGCGCCGGAAGTGGGGTGGCGGGGGGGGGCACTTGCCCCCGCCTCTCCACCCCACACCCCGAACCAAAACAGTGGGGTTAGGGGGTAAGAAAAGCAGAAAAGGAGTAAAGATGGATTGTATTTTTAAACCCAAAGAATATAACAATAATTTAAAAAAAACCTGAATTAAATCACATATAAAATTCCATTCAAAGAAAAGTTAACAGGAATTAATTTTCCTAAACATTCCGCATGCCACCCATATCAATGGAGGTTTTCATATTAGCGATACGCGCATATCGTGGAAATATTGTAAAAGCGTATGTGTTTTTTGTTATAGGGGTGAGAAGACATGAGCCCCTGAACGCTGGCGTACTGATGGGGGGGGGGGTACACACTACAAAATAATGGTACAAATTTGCACCCTATAGGGTGCAGACCGCTGCTACAATAGCAGCCACCTATAAGGTGCAATTTTACACCCCCAATTTGGGTGCAAAATTGCACCGCTATTTGGGGTGCAGATCTGCACCCTATAGGTGGCTGCTATCGTAGCAGCGGTCTGCACCCCTACGGGTGCTCGTTTGCAACCCAAATTGTGGTGCAGACTTGTCCCATATAGGGTGCACGGGTTTGGGGTCCACAATTGTTCCCTGAAGGGTGCATACATACACCCCTTGGGATGCAAGCAAGCACCTTTAGGGGTGCAGATTTGCAACCTTTATATGGTGTAGAATTGCACATTGCAGGGTGCACATGCACTCTTTACATCATATTATAATTAATAAAATCATAAGATTAAACAATTTGTTTTCATATCAAAATCACATTTTATTGACAACATGAATGACCGGTTTCAGTTTCCACTATGCATAGTTGGTAAGAGAAAATAACCAGATATGACACTGTAGCACAATTACTGCATTCCTGCATAGCCTATATTTGCTTCTCTTAAGTAATATAGACATAGGGCTCCTTGGCTCCAATCAAATAGTTCAACAAATCACCAGAAACATTATGTCCCTTTCATCAGACGAATAAAAGGAAAGGACATATTACTCGTGACTTTTTGGATTCAAATCCATTGTACAATCTGACAGTTTTATCAGTTCTCGTGACAACAGTAGTCATATCAAAATCACCTTTCTTACCATGCTGTTTCTTTGTAGCTTTCAGCTTTGCCTGTAAATGACTATTCCTCTGTTGTAGATCTTCAATTTGTTTTTGCTTTGCAACACAGCCAAGGCAGGTACATAATCTTTTATCACAATGTAGCCCATAATTGTGATCAGTGAGATGTGCACCAACAATATGATCAGATCTTTTCTCCTTATTACTTGAAGCTGTCTCATCAATTTCTTGGTGCTCATCAAGAGTAGAGGATCCATGAAAGTCAGGATCTCCTGTCAAGTCGACATCCTTTCTCTTCCGTTTACATGTTGGTTTCCTCTTTTCTTTACTTGAAGCTGTCTCACTGACTTCTAGGTGCTCCTCAGCCGTAGAGGTTTCATATGAGTCAGGATCTCCTGTCAAGTCGACTTTCTTTCTCTTCCGTTTACTTGTTGATTTCTTCTTTTCTGGGCACTGAGGTCTTTCACTTGGAGGCAGACGGGGAGATTTATGTGAAGACTGGTGTGCTGAGCTGTATCCCAGATTCATTGTCGGGTCTGGCCACGCTGCACTAGGTTGTCCATCTCGAAAGTGATATGAGCAAACCCTATCTCCATACGTTGGTTCCCAGTTTTTGCCATTTGGACGTTTTCGATTTATCGCCTTTATCCATCGTCGACGGCCGTCTGCATCTTTATTTTGCAAAGGAAAAGGGAATGGTACAAAAGGTGGTGTGCATACGCAGGCCCCATATTTCAGGCCATGTCTGTCACACAATTGTGAATACCATTTATTAAGCTTGAATGTACTGTTCGAACACCCAATAACAGCACAGATTCTCCCCATGATGATAGTCTGATTGTAAAAAAGAGAGAAAAATATTTCATGTTAACACAAATTATAATGATTTCTATTTGGGCAGGAAAATATTTCTTCTTTCTTGGGAAAAAAAAATCACAGCCGATAGTCTCAATCCCCCCCCCCCCCCCTAAGAAAGGAAGATTATTGCCTTAATTAAGGTTAAAATCCCAATGATCATACAATTTTACCAAATAAATCTGCCTTGTTCCCTATAATACCCCCTTCACATACTTGGATTTTTCTTACGAGTCCTTTCGGATCGCACACACTCACGGATCTTTCACGGATCCTTACGATTTGGCCACTTTTACGACCGGTTAAAGAGTTATTACGAGCTTTTTGCGGTATATTACGGATTATTACGAGTTAGTAATAGTCCACGATTAGTTACGAGTTGTTACAGATAACTACGTGTAACTAACGCGTTAGTTACGACCTGTTTACGTGTTGTTACGAATAGTTACAAGTAAGTTACGAGTATTTACGAGTCCTTACGATTTTTAGCAAAAAAATAACAACTGAAAATGAAGTGTTCGAATTTGCAGCTTTTATACCTTTCCCCAAATCGTAAAAAGTTTGTAAGCATACGTAAAGTATGCGTATCCATTCGTAAAGTACTCGTAATAACATTTAAAATTCTCGTAATATCCCGTTTCAATCCGTAATGCCATCGTAAAATGACCCAAATAAAATCGTAAACAACACGTAATCACACGTAACCATCTGTAAACTGCTCGCAATAATCCGTAAATAATCCGTAAACAAATTGTAAACTAACCGCAATGAATCGTTATAAAAATCTGTTACGAGTCATTTACGGATTCTTGCGAGCAGTTAACGGATGGTCACATGTTGTTGCGAGCGGTTTACGGGTGTTTACGGATTGTTACGAGCTATTTACGTACAAATCAATCCGTGGACAATCGTAAGAAGATTTTTGACATGTCAAAAAATGTGCCTCTCCTTTCACGGATCCTTAAGAGTGTCTACGATTTGTTGCGAGTTGTGACGAGTATTTTACGGATACCAGCAAGTTATTTACGGATTCTTGCGATTGACTACGAGTTGGCGATCCGTAAGGACTCGTAAGCAAAATCCGTGTATGTGAAGGGGGTATAACACATGCTAGCTGTAATGGAATAAACATCCCATTGGCATTGCCAAGAGAACATCAGCACTGCTTATGATGTCTTTGGGCAAGCAGGACAGTGAAGGTGAATTTACAGCTGGCACAGTGGCAGCATTCATTGTCATTGATTGAAAGAATTTTAACAGGAAGTGAAATGAAACTACTTATTTTAGTCAATGGATAGGCATAACTAGAAGTCCAGTCCTTGTTATACGGTTTGTATACATTTTTTAAATTCAAATCGGTCTCAGTGTCTTTTGTTTCGATTACATAGACTAGAGATCTAGCTTTAGTCTGAATTTAGTCACTCTTTTTCTTCACTTCAGTTCAATCAACATGATCAGGCAAAACGAACAAAATATGCGTAATCAGAGGCGGTTCTCCCGGGGGGGCAGGGGGGGCACAGTGCCCCCCCACTTTTTCAGATACCCCAAAAGTGCCCCTTTTTACATAGGAAAAGTGCCCCTTTTATTTTGTAAGAAGTGCCCCTTTTACATAGGAAAAGTGCCCCTTTTACTTTGACAAGTGCCCCTATTACTAAATAAAAGTGCCCCTTCCCCCTTTTCACCTCTGA